AACTAACTTTAATTTGAAGTTTAGGTTACAAGGATAAAGAGGTATTTTTATTGACTTAATCATGTGGTTTCTGTCTGCAGCAAACATCTACCCCAGGAGTCCAAGTTCCAACAAAAGCTTGCAGAAATGAGTGAGTATTATTTTCCTCATAAACTGCACAGCAGTGAGTGCTTTGGATAGAACAGTTTGGGCCCACTCAGATGAAAATGTTGCTCAACACTGATGTCATTTGGGTAACTTGCTCGGTTTTTAAAAATGCAGATTACAAAATGGAAATTTACATACACAGGAAAATCATTCATATAGTTTTGTTTGTTGCTTTGCTGTCTTTTGTACTAAAATGTCTGACTGCTTTTTCTTCTACTGTGGATCAGTATTTCCTTCAGATTTTATGGGATCAGTTTTCTGTTTTTTCAAATGAAACTCAGATCTAGCTCAGGAAAAGCAAATCGCCCCCTCCCCCCACCATGTGAGTTGTATTATCTGCTGCCGAGAAGGAGCACACTTTGTCTGGCCAGGCATTCTCACTGTCTGGTGGAATCTGAGCTCTGTAGCTGAGCAGATTTGCCCATTAAAAACTCTTACCTCACTCATCAAGATAGGTATGAATGTGGATCCGGGCACCTCTCCTTTATTTTAAGTAGGGGAAACACTTCAGTGTTTACTTGTGTCGGAGGTTAAGAAGGAGAGTTCTATCTCATGTCCGGTGGTGTTGGTGTGTGTCACTGAGGGGAAAAGGCATTTCCTGGCCAGCTGGCTCTGGCATGTGGGCACTGCTCGGCCCACAGCATCTGCCTGGCATCAAGGCAAGATTCCCTGTGTGATACAGATCATCTGCCCGCCTTGAGGATGAAAACAAACACAGTGAGGGTACAGAAACAATGAGAACTTGAGTGAACAGGTGGAAGAAATTTTCTAGGATGTGTAAGATTTAACAAGAATTGCTGAAGCAATGCAGAATTAGGTGTTTATTTTATAATGAGGGATTTGGTTTATTTAGAATTCAGAGTAGTGTACTTCTATTCCATGTGTCATTACAAATTTTTACAATTATCAGTCCAAAATAATTCTGAAGAAAATTATTTCATTTCATTCTTTTTTGTTTTGTGTTTGGTTTTTTTTTTTTGTAGCATCTACTCGAACAAGAATGCAAAAGCAGAAGCTGAATGATGGAAATGATACTTTAACCAGTGAAGAAAAGTGAGATTCTTCTCAGGACCAGGGGCTGCACTGCTGGCCCTCTTAGATTGTTTTTGTTTTACAGCCTTCATTAATAGAGTTGCATTTTTAGTTGCTTTTTATTCCAAACTGCTAGTTTGAAAGCATTTGTACTTCTTAAATTGTTAAATGTCTTTCATGATACCTTTACCTTATGATGTAGCATATATACAATATAAGCCACTGAATTTAATTTATATATATTTTTGAGGACTAAAAACAGAGAGTTGCAGGGTTTCTGAAATTCCTGTTGCAGCATTACTGATATAAGCTGACTCAGTCTCCTTGAATTGAATTCTTTCTGCCTAAAGATGAAACGTTAGCTAGCATGATAATGAAATGCACTAATTTTGTTTCTTAGGTTTGATTTTTAGATTTTCATTACTTGCAAATTTTTAAGATGAGGGGCCAGATACTACAAAGATTTCTGTCTCTGTACATAATTAGCACATCAAGTTCCCGTTGACTTAAACTGGACAGCAGTCGAGGGCCTTGCAGAGTGTGGGCCTTGCTTCACAAGTACAGCCTGAATTCAAAGTGAAGTCATTACGTAGCCGTACTGCTGAAACCAATACTTGGCATTTTGCAGTTTTCAAGTGTAATTTCAGAGGGCAGTTGGACTGTCCATCAGTTCGAGTTTCATGAAATGTGATTCCCACAGAGAATCTTCCCAGAAGCTGAAGCCTCTTCCCATATGCAGAGTAATTGATGTGCACTTTCTTTTCTTGGAAAATCTCAAAAGAAAAACAAACAAACAAACAAACAAACCTAAGCCTCACCTGGTACACATAAGAATTCAAAATTCTAATGGTGTAGAATTTTCTTGATTTCCTCAAATTTTTACCTAACTGTAGCCAAGCCAAACAGCTTGAGAAGCAGCTGAAGGCTCAGTGACTCCAGCTGGGTTCCAGGTGAGAGTAGACTGAACTCTAAAAAGCACAGGACATCTCCTGTTGGCCTTACTGCAGTGTCTGCACAAAAGCTGAACATGGTGAACCCACGTTGGGAAAATCAATCTGCCTTATTTTACTGAAAAGGCAGTTAATTGGGCAATTTGTGAATGGCTGCAACTAGCAAAAAAACCCAAAACTCAACTTTTTGTCATCTTTTGTAAGTTTCTGATTCAGATACTGGAATTTTTCCTTCAGTGACAAAGCTTTGTAAAATACACATAACAAAAGCACATTTTTTACTTCCAGTAGATTAAATATAAGCAAATGTCTTGCTTTAAAATGACCCATTTTTATGAAATTTAGCTTTTGCAGCTACTTAAATTAAGAACAGTTACGGTAGAAAAGCATGATGTTCATGACACAAACATTCTAAACCAGTATTTTCTCCAAGTAGCTTACGTATAGGTTGTTTAGCTGACCCTAGAGTACTTACAATAGGATTTTTTTTAAAGATCCATTCTAAGCTAATCCTAGAGCTACTAAAAATTCTACAAGCAGCACACTAATGTGTAAATGAATATTAAAATAATATTGAGGGGTTTTTAGATTCACTACAGCTTCAACTTTCTTCCTGAAAAATGTACAGAAGTTTTAAGAGTACCTTATGTTTATTTTCTCACTTTTTGCAGAATTTTACAGAAAGAATGTATGTTAGCATTTGGGTGCACTGACTTAAGATCTGTTACAGTAGTCAGGGTTCTTCCTTTGGCGAGGGGAAGAATACAGAGTCCAGTACCTAAACAGATTCATTATTTCTTTACTGTGACAGTGTATTTTTTTGTTCAAACAGACTGAAGGCTTTACATGAAATTTATGATAATATTTTATACAACTAATCAGTTTCTCTCCTTTCAAGGTAAATAAAATAGCTTTTAAAAGGATTTATAGTCAGTAGTTTTCTTTTACTAGATGGGAAGGTGACTTCATATGGTAATGATGTCCTCCTGTATCACACTCCCACCATGGCTCTGCAGCTGATGCAAGCAGAGGTCACTCCACCTCCAGTGATTCTGTTTGTGTGCAGAGGTCTAAAGAGTTGCACAGTTGGGCTTGTGGTTACCTTCAGAGGCTTCCATGGGATGTTCTGGAAATAATCTCACCAGACCTCGCAGCAGGGTCACTGGCAGGTTGGTAATGCTGGCATATGCAGGCCTGTAGCATGGTCTGGGTCATTGTCATGGTCCGTGCATGGTCCTTCAGGAGGTTGGTGTCTGCATCTGGAAGCATTCCCATCATGAGTTGGGGAAGGTTTAGGTTGGATAGCAGAAAAAGGTTCTTCACCCAGAAAGTGGTTGGGCACCCAGGGAAGTGGTCATGGCACCAAGCCTGACGAGTTCCAGAAGCGTTTGGATAATACTTTCTGGCACATGGCGTGACTCTTGGGATGTCCTGTGCAGTGCCTGGAGTTGGACTCGATGATCCTGATGGGTCCCCTCCCACTCAGCATATTTTGTGACTTCACCACCCTGCTTTTCATAAGCAATTCCTTTCTCTCAGAACTGCTGGAAATAGCCAGGATACCAAGCTCCAGTGTCAGCCACCATGGCTTTGGTGTCTGGCTGTGGGCACATCAGCCTCACAGTCTCCCTGTCCCTGCCTTTTTAGAGTCCAGAGGTGCCTGTGACTCATGACACTGCTGAGCATGCAGGGCTGTTTATAGCATCAGTGCTCGGGACAATGCTTAGGGCACAAAGTTCACTGGCAGGCTTGCCAGTTCCTGCCCCCTCAAAAAAAGGCATTTTCAGAGTCTGATTTTTAAACAGATACATATGCAAATAAGCATATGTTGAAACTAATGGCTTTTCATCAGATATATGGAATTCTTACTGTTTGACAGCACTTTTCTGAGAGCAAGACCCTGTACTAAAAATGACCTAGAATACTGAAACTGTGTTCCAGGAAAAAAGAAAATTAGCATTCACAGCAGAAGAGTTGGACAAAAAAATGTGATGGGCATTTTAGGTGCCTAATGGCACATGTTGCACCATTGGTTGAATGATAATTGCTGCGGAGAAACATAAATTTCTGGAGAAAATATGTCTCTGCCTAAAACTGACATGCAAGATGAGTGAACTGGATCTCAGAAGGGCTTGTTTCTGTCCATTGATGTTTAGGGGAATTTAATCTATTGGCTTGGCTGTGTAGCCATCTGAAGACCGAAGAGCTGATTTTCAGCCTCTTCATTTGCTGTTCTGTAGCTTCATCTCTTCCTGTTGTCCACTGTTTCCAAATGAATGCTCTTTGTTCTTAACATGTCACAGGAACTCATTTCTTCCTCACTGCATTTGACTTGCAAGTGAAGAATTTTGTGCTTAGGCAGTGTTAGTCCAGGAGGGCTGTAGTAAAGAGCAAGTTACTCACAGGTGCTGGAACAGCCATGGGAATGTGTAAAACTGCACATCTTAAGTACAGGAGTGGCTGAAGGAAGACACCTGTGTTGAATATGAAACAATTGGAGAAGGTGATGGCTCTGTGATACCACCATAAAGTACCAGCTGAAATTGTTTAAATTGTTAACTAATAATGTTATAATGTGCATTTGCTTAAGAAACAATCATTGTTTGGTGTTCTGAGGACCATTTTATTAATCATTATGTCACTAATTTCTTAAGGCAATAATTTCTTTGAAAGGTGGAATACACTTGCATAAATTCTCCAGCTTACAAACGTGTTACCTGGTGATAATGATTTCCTAAAGAACACAAATAGCCTTTAAGGTACCTCTGTGAAATATTATCTGGTTTATTAACTACATAGTCAACTTGGTCTACAAGCATCAGGCTTACTTCATTTTTACTGAAAAGAAAGGAAATAACCCCACTCATAATCTTTTAATTATTATGGCATTTTTATTAATGATCTATTAAACCAGGTAAGTTTATAAAGAAACAAAAATTCAAAACATATATTTATGTTCAGGCTGTAAACTTTTTACATCATTACAGAATCACAGAATATGCTGAGTTGGAAGAGACCCAAAGGATCATTGAGTCCAACTCCTGGCCCTGCACTGGACCATCTCCAAGAGTCATACCGTGTGCCCAAGAGTATTGTCCAAATGCTTCTTGAAATCTGTCAGACTTGGTGCTGTGACCACTTCCCTGGGGAGCCTGTTCCAGTGCCCAACCACCCTCTGGGTGAAGAATCGTTCTCTAATATCCAACCTAAACCTCCCTGACACAACTTCAGGCCATTCCCTCAGGTCCTGTCACTGATCACCACAGAGAAGAGATCAGTGCCTGCCCCTCCTCCTCCCCTCATGAGGAAGTTGTAACTGCAGTGAGGTCTCCCCTCAGTCTCCTCCAGGCTGAACAGACCAAGTGACCTCAGCTGCTCCTCATATGCCTTCCCCTCAAGGCCCTTCACCATCTCCATTGCACTCCTTTGGACAATGAGTCCTGCCTCTGTGGGGTAAGTAAATGCTTTGTTTTACAAGGAAAGCCCATGGAAATTGTTCAGATGATCTAAAACCAGCAGTTTATGTAGTTATCAGGCATTATAACAAAACTCTACAGCTGGGTACTATATGACAACGCAGTGCTGGCTTGTAACTTCAGTAACTTAGGTGAACCTTTAAATGACCCTCCATCTGTAATTTCTTTTTCTTTCAAATTCCATTTGACTCCCTTTCTGCAAAGTGGAACACTGCTCTTAATTTAAACCCCAGACACAGTTTATGCTTGACCATATTTTCACTTCTTAATAAATACCTTTTTTCTGTGGTGTCTTAAATTTACCCAGCGAGATCCACAAACACAATGTGTTTGATGCAGACTATCTCACAATGGTAAAACGCATCCCTACTTCCTTCTGAATTCCCATGGTTAGGTTTCAAGCACATATTTACATACATGCATCCACATTTAACCACCTAAGCCAGTACGTTTTTTAAACATTGAGCTTTAAGTGCCCAGGAAAGTGCATGCAACAAAAGTTTAAATAAATAACTGTCTCTATGAATGTAACACTATCACATCCAGGTCAGATGATACAGATGGTATGTATAAATGCCAACACTGACACACTGAGACTTTAGGATCACCCTCATTCAATCCAGAGATGCTTTTTCTCAAGATTACAGGCTTTGTCAATTACTCTGAAATTGCATCTAGGCTTTATTGTGTACAGTCATTTGGAAATTATGAGCAGGAAGGAAATAAATTGGAAAAAAATGGCACTATTGTTTATGTTAAGTAAAAATGCCTTGTTTCAAGTAGCACATCATTTTGATTGCAGTAAGTATTCAACTACTGAGTTATGAACTTGAGGCAATGCAGGAGAGTGGTATTCCTCTCCAGCACTATCATTCCATGGAGTAGTATCTCCAGGGAGCCAGAGAATGTTTTTGATTAGATGTTGAGTCAAAAAAACCCATCATTTCATATTTACAGTTTTGGTTTGTTTCTTTAAGTAAAGCAACAGAAACATCTGCAGAGACCTTTTATAGTACATGTCTTAGGAAGACTGGAGTGACTGCAGAAAGGCCATTACCAGGGGCATGGCTGCCCAGCTGGTTCCAGTTCCCAGTGAGACTGGTTGTGTGCCATCATAATGCCATCTGTGTGGAACAGGGTCTGGTACAAGCTGCTGCCTGAAGGCTGGGCCGTGGTAGTACACCCTTGTTCTGTGTGCTGCTGCAGCTAAGGAAGTGCTGGCAGGTGAGTCTGGCAGTTTGCATGCCCAGAACTGGAGAGAGGAAACTTCAGCCATCCCAGGCTTAACCAGGGATACGTTGCCTTGGCTTTCACGGGATCCTTTGTGTGTATGCTTTGGTATGATCAGTGCTGGGCTACAGCACACAAGGTTTGCAGTAAAGTTGTGCCCTACCATGATACTGTTTTGCTGTCTGCATTAGCCTCTATTTGTGTACTGGCATCAAGTGCTTTTCAACACAAACTTATCAAAACTGATCTCTGACCCTAGCAAAGTTGCAGTTTTGATGAAACTGCAAAGGATGTACTGGAAAGGTTTTGAGCACTTCTGTTTGAATACAAAATACAGACACAGTTGCTGAATTAAAGACTTATCCTGCTGGAGGAAGTTGTACTAATCACAGAGGGGTGACAGAGGTGGCACAATTTGCTTTTTAGCCATAGATGATCCAATATATTTCTAGTGAAAGTCTGAGGCAAATGTCTCAAACACAAGTAAATATTTACCACCGCATTTTCAAAAATGTTTGGTCACCACCCTCTTATAAGTAAATCCTGCTGTCTGCATGCTTCACCCTTCCAACTCACACCCATGAGGTCTAGCGTGAAGAGGGGCAATACCTTATTACTTCTCATCTTCTTTTCTGGAGTATGTGCTGCTCCTTTTCCTACTCCTCCTCAAAGAACAGGATTGTTTGAGAAATGAGCCTCCAATACAGTAAGGAACAGTTATATCTAATTTAGAAATGAGGATGTGATCATTTAAGGGAATTAGTTTCTTAGAAGCCACATCCAAGGATTAGAAAAAGTCGTTGAAGGATTGATCTGCAGGAAGGTCACGTGACTGTATTAGTGTACTGCGCCTTGTCATCGGGCTTCTTGTCTTCCCCATTTGTAAAATACTGCAAAAGGCACTTGAAGTCACTTAACTCAGTCAAAATTTTAAGAGAAATAAATGCTCAGGCTTAATTCACAGTTACCTCTTGGAAAATTCAAGTAAATGCTCCATAAGCTTCACATCTTCTGTAATGGGGCAAACCTTCCTCTGTGCAGCACTGGGTGAGGTTTTCATCTTAACTCACTTCAGTCAGAAATTAAGCATCTACTCTACTCTAGCCATCGCTGATCAGTGATGGGAGAGAAAGGCGTGTCCAGAGGGCAACTTCTCTCTCCTAAACAGGCCTGGTAGCTAAGTGGTATGGTCACCTCACGGCACTGACCAAAGGAGAATCTGAAACAATGTGTTTGGACAAGGTGTCTTTATTGCCTTGTGGAAACTACTGTGAGTTTCACTCTTAGGATCTGATGGTAAGGCCCGTGTTACCACTTCAAAACCACCTTTTCCTCAGTTTTTCTGAAGAATGTCTATCTCAGGCAGATAGCAAGACAGGAGTAAATAAACCTCAAGCAGAACTTCCTTTTCTTGAAATTCTGTTTGGGTTTGCAACTAAATTATTTTCTTGGTAGTAAAACTCATAGCATGAGAATTCACATCCAGACAAATATGGTGAATGCTTCCTGGCCCACTAGGGTGCCAAGAACTGTTTTCAGTGTAATGGAAAGGGAGATTCTTTTCATTCTGCCTAAATAATGGACATAAGTGCTGGAAACTCAAAGCAGATAACCTCCTGCTGAAGCTCCTCATAAATAAACTCCAAATAAACAGCAAGTGAGATATATCCTCCTGCCAGTCAGAAAGCCTCTCATGCTAGAGAATTTATATTACTTTATCATATGTTCAGAAAACCAAGTTTGGATCTTCACTGGATGATAAACCAGACAAACAGAAGCCCACTATGGCATATTAACTTTGGAGATAAAAGTACGCTATGAAAGTTTTAGCAGCAAACAGGTTACTGTCCCATAAAATCCAAATGAACATTGTTTAAAAAAAAGAAAAAAGTCAAACCAGACAGAGCAGATAATGATAGCTTAGTTTGCTTGACTCTGAGTGGGAAAGAGTACTTACTGCATTAGATTTTTGTGTTAAATTCTGTTTGTTGGCAATGAACAGTTACCACACATCTATGCTGTAGCCATCTTTACAAAACCTGCGTGTCAGTGGACTTTTACACATTTCTTAAGCTGATGGATACTGAGGCTTTCTTTCCAAACCACTGCACATTCTGACCAAGGAGAAGTTCTCCAAAGAAGTGCTTCCAGGAGGGAAGAGAACGCTCTCTTCAGCTTGGTGGTAGTCAGAGCTCAGTTTCGGAATGCTCCCACTCTGCTTGCTTTGCTAATGAAGTTTTTCAGGAGGTCGTGGTCCATTTCTGCAAAGCCTTGAGTTTGTGTAACAACAGTTAAATGGTTTATGCAAAATCTGAAGCAAAATTCTTCCAAGTCCTGGGAACAAATTGAGATAATTTGTAATATGAATGACTGATAAAAAATTATTATTATTATTTGTTTCAAAACTGTCATTAGCAGAGAACACACCAGACTGTTCATATTACCAACCCCTTTACTGATCTATTAGATGAGATCACAAACGATAGGATGAAATTTGTTCATAGAAATTATTCAATAAACCCCCTCTGAGAAAACAAGAATAGCCACGTAAATAAAATCAAGAACTCCATCACGTTTACTGAGGTCATTAGAAAAGTTACCAGTAAGTGAAACCATCACTTTTCCCTACATAGAACTACTAGAGCATCAATAACTCTTTTCCTTCCTGCCCTGAATTCAGTAGTACTCCTTTAAAAAATAGCAGATATTCTAGTCTTGCTGAAAATAAAAGCAAAATACGATGCAATATTTGATGATGCTCACTGAACACAAACTGGATGTTAGGATACATGTATCTTTCATGGAAAACCTAGGAATTGTATCCCCCGTCCACTGGGATTCCTAGATAGAAAAAAAAGGTTCTGGTTTGTCCTGGTCAGGCTGAAACAGGATGCTCAGATATTCAGCACAGGTTAAGTACAAGCCATTAAGCCATACAACCATGATTTCATGCAGCGAATTTTGCCCACTCAAACTCCTCACAGCAGTGGCAATCCTTCTCTCCATGCACTGGGTCAGCCTCCTTTATGCAACAACTTGCTGTGATGCAAAATGAATTACCTTCTGCGGGAAGCAGACCTGGAGCCAGCAGCAAGTCAAGTCTAAATTGGTAGTATGATCCATAAGCTATGAACTCCTCAAGGGTTGCAGCAAAAAGAGGTCTCTTAACCCATGCCAACTTGATTCTGTGTTAACTACACTAACGTTGCAGCCTGGAGATTAATATTACAAAGATACTCAGCACAATACTTGCGCATTTTCCCTTTGAAACCTTTAAGGAATTCCTTAGATTCCATGTTTCAAGATGTAACTAAAGCTTTACCAGAAGCACAAAAAAATCCTTCAAGAAATAAGATATAACAAGTATGCACAGCAAGTAAACTGCATCTCTCATCAACAAGTACTGGAAAAGTAAGAAGAGGAATGAGAACAGAAGAAGCAGCAAATTTGAGAGGAAATAAAAAATGTAGAAGATCAAAAACAATGACAACTGTAGTTCCTGCAGACCTGAAATGGTACTGCCAGAACCTCAGTTGCTTTACAGTCAGTGCGTGAAGTTTTATGCTAACTGAAATGAACAACAGTTGCCTTTTCTGGTGGTGATATGAAGAGGACCATAGATGATAAAAAATCATGGTCACTAATTTTGCAGTTCCAAGAAATACTGAATCTTTATTCTGTTGTATAGAAAATGTATCATCTAAAATTTGCTGGAGCGTATATTAGAAATTTGCTTTAAAATAACTTGTAGCAGCAACTCTTTGTATTTTCTGAGGATAGAACAAAGTATTTTCGTTCATTTTAAATCCTAACAGATGCATACAGTAGTAAAGTCAGTCTTCATTTAGTTTGCTGTGTTAAGGGCATGTGACACAGTACTATAATCTTTCAATTGCAGTGTTCACATTTAATTACAAAAATTGAAATCTGTATTTTCAAACCTCCAAAACATTAGGCCTCTTTCATAATTCTTCTTTTGACAGTTTCCTACTGAGGTCCTGATACACTGCACATCGTTCTCAAACCAGGAGTTATTACTATTGATGGCACAGAGTAAAAAATCCTGGCTTTGTCCATGAGTCCTTAGACAGAGGCTATCCCATGTCTTTGATAAGGGACTCTTTGCTGCACTTCCCCAAAGCAGTTCTACCACAGCCCTTTCTGAGCTGTGGATGTAGGGAGGAGGAGCAATGCACTCCTGAGTTTGGCACATGCTGCAGGCAGAGCAGGGGAACCAATTCATCATCTGACAATGGTATAAAATATTACATGTTTTGAAGGAGTAAAGCACTGAATCATAGAAGGAAGAGGAGGATAACGTACATTTAGTCATCTAGCCAATCCCTTTTATTATCTTTCTGCTGTTATAAACTTTAGAACTCTGTCCAGGCTAGTTTCACTACTTCACAATACACCTAAATATGTCTTTAACTACTCCTTAATTACTTCACCTGGTACAGGACAACTGAAAATATTTCTGCTTCAAAGATGTTGAAAAGCTTACAAGAGGAGAAACTCCAGAGTAAAGTTTTAATGACAAGACTGCTGTTAAGAGAACCACATCATTGGGTCATGCCTTCCTGTACAGTCTTCCCCGATATGCTGGGCTTGTACCAGCACAGTACACTGAAAGTACAACTCCTCTTTGCCTCAGTTGTTCATGCCCTCTGTTACTGATACCTTGGTTACAAATGCAGCTGGCAATCTTATTATCTACTAATCTGCTGTTATCCCCTCTTCCAATTTACAGAACTCACTGACTTCCTGGCCTCCTCTTTGCAACTCCTACACAAATTCATCTCCTCTAGTCACCATACAGCACTGACTACTGGAACATTTTTAACTTAGTTTTGTTTCAGTTTCTTCTTTCTGTTTACTTCCTATACTGGGGAGATATAGGTAGATTGATCCACCCTGTTATGCTTCTAGCCTCTCCTCCTTTAAAACTTCATCCTACATTTCATAGCCAGGCAAAGGCAAAAACCCAAGTATTTTTAAAAATAAAAATATTGTAACCAGCTACATATTCTGACTCTTCTCATAGGTAATCTTCTGTTTGGCTATATCAATTTTATTCTTGTAAAGCAGGAGCCCTTAAAAGAAACGAGGACTTCTCAAACAACATGTTCATTCATAACAATGAATTAACTAAGTCTAAATACATAAGCAGACTTTTTGAATAATAAAGCCCACCATATCATTATTTCCAAAATCAGCATAGCATTAAAAAGTTGAGAAAAGGAATACATCTTTGAAAGCTTCTGTTTACAACAAAAAGTGTTTGCAGTGCACTGATAACAGGTTGAGTGCTAGTGACACATTCCAGAGCCAAGGGCAGACCAGATGACAGGATATGGGGAGAGTAATAACAATAGGTAATTTGTTGTATGTCAGCACAATTCACTGTAAACAGTACTGGAAAAGCCCTTTATTTAAGCACAAGTGTCAATAAGGAGGGACTTCACAGGTAAATTCTCCCACTGCCTGTAAAAGGCAGTACCAGAATGACCTGTACCAGACACTGGCAGACAAAATGATCAGGTGTCGAACTTGAGGAGTGAAAGGCAGTGTAAAATCCAAAGGCAGGGACAAATTTGCACGCCATGCCCTGACGTGCCAGGAAGCAGAGTAAGAACCCTGACTCACAGGTGCAAGCCAAAAGGCCAGGAAGAAAACACTAGTACCTGGTTGGTTGGTTGGATTTTTTTTGTTGCTGTTGTTTGGTTTTTTGTTTTGTTTTGTGTTTTGGTGGGGGGTAGTGTTGGGTTTTTTATAGTTTAAAAAGGAGAAAACAAACATCTGGGAAGCCGGAAAGGGAAATTACAGTAATCATGACTCATCAATTAAATGCAGCTATGTTTATATTAAGCAGCATCATTTCTCAGAAAACAACTGCTTGCCTGAAGAGAAATTCTTACCTGAGCTTCGTATTTGACAGCAGCAGAAAGAAGAGCAATGGCATTCTCTTCACAAATGCCTTGTTTGATCGTTTGCTGACAAAGCTTTTTCAATCTGTTTTCTCTATACAGTGTTGCCAAATCTAGCAGCCCTGTGAAAATTCATACAGCTTTAACCTTCCTGATGCAAAACATACTAATTTCTTTTCAAATTAATCAATTACCATATTATTTTAAGCTGAAATCAGCAAAGACTTGTAATATTTTTTCCCCTAGATGATGTGTGCATCCTTTAAGGTCCTCTACAGACATATCAAAAAAGGAACCATTTTATTACATGCAAGTATTCTCTTTTCTTGTTCACTGTATTGCATTTCATTCTAGGCATCAATTACTGACTTGCATCCTCTTAAATTCATCTGGGGAACAGCTCTCTTTTCATTCATGATCAAATCACCACAGATACTCAAACAGAAAAGTTTTAGGATGGAATTTGTGCCTTTTTAAGCGAAAAAAACCCAGTTCTTAGTAAGAGAAATGAAGAGTCCTTATTGAACATTTTGCATCTTTGATCCCACTACTCATTCCCCATGGACATATTTTCTGCTGTTGCATCCCTTCTTCCTGACACATGCCAAAGTCAAGATTTAAGTGCAAATAAAACTAAAATTAACAAGCCCTGCTTTCCTCACCCTATTACGACACACAGCTTGAACTTTTCAGAAACAGTAACCTAGAGTTATTTCCATTTATGGCAAATACCTATTGCATCTTCGGGAGGGAGCCTAATGTTGTCTGTATACAGGTATTCCAGGAAGGCTCGGTAAACAGGATAAGAAAATTCACTCATTTCTATAATTTCATCATCACTGTTCAGTGTGGAGCGAAAATGTTCACACCTACAAAACATGAACAGAGATTGCACACTGTAAAGAGTTAGGATTGAAAGATGTTAGTAAAGAAGTTGGTAATGAAGTTGGCAAAAAAAAAAAAGGCAAGAAGTTGGTAAAAAAATAAATCAGTCATAACAGACAAAATACACAAGCATAAACTCTAGCTACATGATTTCTTGGTTTGAACGTGTTCATTTCTTCAAGCCTTATAAGGCTTATAAGCCTGATATATATAATTCAGATTTTTAATTCTGTTATTAATATTTCATGGTAGGCTCCATTTCTACTTATAACATCTACAAGGATGACCCATGTGGTTTTTATGCCATTTTCTTAAATACATTATACATTAACTATGAATTTTATTAGCTGGCTCATAACAGATAAGAGATTAATTTAGACAATTTTGAGGTTTGACCCCGATTTCTCCAACATGAGCTAATGAAGAGGGAAATTATTAACACTTTTAGATATCATTTATTCCAGAGTCCATACACAATTTAGCATTAAACATTATATTCAATTCAATTATTACATTATTTGAAGACACTCTCAGATTTTTCATCACCTTTTTCTTCTAAGTCCAAATACTTTTGTGACAGATACACACAAGGACAAAGCATTGCCTTTGATAGCTGTAATCTGCAATTTACAGTTCACAGTAATTTACAATGCACTGTAACTTACTGTTTCTTAAAAAACATCCTAATCCATGCATTGTTTTCAAAATTTTTTGTTGAGGTAAATGAACATCCCCACTTCTGATAACCTTTCCTATAACAACCACAATTTAATCAGACTTTTTATACAACACTAATTTATAACTCTCCCACATCTGAATTTTCTCTTCTTTTACTACAACTTTTCTATAAGTAGGATGGTTTTCTTTTAGTGTCCCTGGGACAAAACTACAACAAAGACAGTATCACTTAAATACAGATGAAAAATAATTATTTAACTTATCATTTCTTCAGATTTGATTTTACTAGTTATTGAAAGAAATTATTTTCTTAGTATTGTGGGACTTCTAATAAAATAAAAGGAACCTCAAGTCAAAATCATAAAGAAATAAGAAGTCATTAGCTAGCTTCTGGCATGTCTTTTACCACATTCTGGCATTGGGAGAGGCAGACCAAACCCCACTGTTTGGCTTCCCAGGGCCTCATGTTAAGTAGTGGTGACCATGCTATCCATCCAGCGTGGAACAGGCCTTGGGAATAGTCTGTTGCTCCAATGGCACCACACGGAAGTCAGAGAGAAGGTGGTGCACATTGCTCCCTTAAAGATTAATAAGTAAATAAATAAAAATTGGTTAGTACACATCCTCTGGTCTGCAAAGTACCTTGGAGTGACTCATCCTTTGGAGTGTCTGTCTCCCTCTCACTATCTCTCAGTGGAGACAGACCAGACACCTAATTTTGGCTGGCTAAATGCAGAGCTGATGAATCCCACCCACATGCTCAGATGTATCTGTTTCTGTGGCTTGGGCTGCCTCTCACTGAGCGGGGCATTCCCTGACATTTTGCCTCCATGGCAAGCCAATAACCACCAACAGTCAGATCTAGTTCAAGAATAGGAACAGAACAACATGGAAAAAATTCCTCTCAAGTAGTAAAGAAATGACCGGATAATGAAGAGGAACTTTACTGCATTCATGACAATGGTCTGAACAGGCCAAATGTTGCAAAATACCATTTTAAATACGTTATCCTCTGATCCAGTTGCATCTGAGACTTAAAGAAAATATTAAGTTTAAAGACTGTGCCTGATGCTTTATTATTCCTCCATATCATTTTGATAATGCCATATATTTAAATTCATTTTAGAATTAGACACATTTCCTTCACAGAATGCCACATAGTCTGAGAAAAGTAGAGCAAGAAAAAGGAAACAAGGAAAAGTTACATATAGTCAGATTATCACAAAAAAGAAACTCAGGAACATTTTGGGGATACGTGAGATTTGCCGAGGTATCTGATGGAGGACACATGGCATTCCAGACAAAGAGGGTGGACTATAGGCACGAGTGTAATGCACAAGCAATGAATCCAGTAAAGGGAAGAAAAGAGTAATACAGGTAATTGGAGTAGAAAGAGGAGAGCAGAAAAGACCAAAACAAGGGGAGGCAAGAATTGACAGGGAATTTTAATTTTATGTCGTAATAGACAAGAAATCACTACCAGGACTCAGGAGCAAAAGTATGAAGACAAAAGTGTTGATAAGCCAGATGAGATAGCCAAGCATTTTGAGAAAGAAGATAGCAAAGAGAAAAAAATATTGTAACAATGAGGAGGATAAAGTAGAAGCAATTAGCAAGGCAGAAGAGATCTAAAATAGTGTCTCTAGAATATCCCAGCAGAAACTGTTCTGGCAGTAGCAAACTAATCTCTGCATGTTTATAACAACGTGATTACTCTGTAGATCTGTGTATGTCAAGTATCACTGTAAAGCTGTAAAACCAAAAGAGAAGCCATTTGAAAAGTCAGACTGTTTGAAACAAGTAGGATAAGAAATTTGATAAAAAAGGGGGAAAAAATATAATCTGAATAGCAGCTACAGAAATTGCTGAAACAACTGAAGGGTCCTGTGGAAGGAAAGAAAGGCAAGAATAAACACAAAACCCTCAAATCATTTCAGTGGAGGAAGCCAAGCATATAAAGGAAGAAAAACTGATTCAAACTCCTGAGAAGACAGCAGAAGGAAGTGAGCCTCTTCCTCAGTAGAAAAAGGTTATTGGAAATCAAGGTCAAGGCCATTTAGGTAGCATAGAGGATAAATGTCAGATGGAGAGAAGTGATGAAAGGGCTGGTAGTAAAGCAGCACGTTTGATAATCACAAGGAGCGATGAAATGAGGAAAAAAGACTAACAGTGAAGGACAGCAGATGAATGCCGTGGCTCAAAGAAAAGGGAGTTTGTAAAAACAAGTCAAGAATTTCTTGCAGTAATTACTCAGCACAGTGGACTATGCTACACCGTTTAGTTTATATAGTTTACGCAGTTTGTGCCTTACCTAATTTTGAGAAGAACTTTATGAACATGAATGTATTTTCCATCCACTAGAAACTTCAGGTCTGCAGTTTCAGGGTTGTCAAATTCCTTTTTTAGTGACTGGGCTACTGTTAGGTGGTCATCAGGCTCTAGAACAAAAAGGGGACTTAATAATAAGTAGTAAGCAATGCAAGTATCTCACATTACAACATCATGGGTATCTGTCAGCAGTTAACACTTTAATAAATACGACATCTCCTTAAGGCTAGTAAAAAGCCCCAGCAGATGATGTGTTCTCTCTGAGTCCCAGAAAAGCAAAGAAAGGGTAGCTTTCTTCAGTCCTTACTAGCTTCCTACTCCAACTAACCATCTCTATCAAAAGACCTGTAAGTTCCATTCCTCTAACTCATCTGTATAATGCCAGAAAAAAAAGTTAACAGTTCCAGGAGTTTACTGCTGCATTTGATATGTCTCTACAAGGAGACATTATCTTACAGCAAAAATAAATCTATTGCATAAACAACGTATGCATTGCAGTGAAACTGCCCAGTACAATATCCCTAAAAGTAAATACCAACACTTACAAGTCTATTCAAAAAGAGTAGTTTTCCCTAGATTTAATGGTGTTAAAAGTACTCTGTGTGAGTGTCTGCATATTCCATATTCTGGACACTCAGAGTGCTATTTGTGTGTATATCCCACTCAGCATGTGACAGCTTTGAAAAGTCATCCACTGTCTGCATACAAACTTTCACCTCCTGAACTGATCCAAATCTCCATCATATTTGGCAGTATCAGAGAACTATCCTCTTTAATAGTAGTGGAAAAAAAAGAAAATCAACAACCCAACCCCCAAAACCTCATTCTTAATCCTGAAAACATTTTGTCTTCTTACTATATAAATACATATTACGGGTTTATACAGGTCTTGTGAGTCAGTAATTAGTTGTTCTCTACAGAAAATTACATAAATGCTAGGTCCTTTAGCCTACCAAACTAGAAACCAAAATAATATTCTGCTCAAAATGGAAAGACCTCCTCCACAAGCTCTAGAAAAAACTTAGCACATACACACACACTTTGATACTGTTAGCACAATCATTTTTCATTTCAATTAGAGGATGTCACTGATGTTCAGCTGTACCCAATTAGGGCAATATTATCGAAGTGTGGTGGATTACAGGTAAAATGACTGGAGCGGGTGGGGGAGAGAAATCCAGTGTAGTGATAAAATAAAAAGTCCTTCTGAAACAAGGATACTGTAAAATACTTTGTTAGGTCTTATTTTGTACAATGTGTGGTTTATTTATTCAGACCTCTGCTATCCAAACAAGTAATCATTTTAAGCACTAATGCAAAGCTCTTCTTCAAAGTTAAGTGGCAATCCAATGTTCACCAACACACATCTCCAGACAACTTCTACAGCCAGCAGAGGAAAACTGAGTAAGATTTTCAGCTTTGAAATTCTTAGAGGGAAAATAGATGCTTTTATTTGTTACAGCAGCTAAGGGGGAGCCAGAGGAAGGAAGCGAAGAGGCAGTTCACACTGACAAGGCACAAAGCCAAGAAAACTCCTTTGTAACAGTCAGTGCTAAGAACTGCATTAGAAATGTTAGAACTGCCACAAACAGGGAGTGCATGGGAATGCCTGGCTGTGGAAGCACCAGAATAAAACAGACAGAGAAGGGCTGTAAGCCTGGCAGATGTCCATGGCACCTATTTCAGCAGATTTAAGATCCTAGGATGCAGCTGCCTGAGGATTCTCACCACGCATAGGTCAGATGAAAAACAACAGTGAGTCAGTCCTGACAACTTGCCAAGGGGGGACCAGACAAAGAGGTTAGTCATTCTCAGCTCCCAGAGCATGCAAAAATACACATCCAAAATGAACAAAGAGTCACCTAACCAAAAGGTATCCAGGAGATGTGATTAAGTCCTGTTAGCCAGCATCCTTTATCCTGTGTCATCACAGGGAACCCTCAGACTACCTGAACACACATTTTAGTACCGGGATGCTGGACAGACAATTTGGCACATATGAGAATCTGTGCCACAAATTTGAAAGTGCATCTGAAACTATATTTTTTTAATAGTAAAGGAACCTTTTCCTCCTGTAAGGTTCCACCTTATGCTTCCGCACAACGTTGCTACAGTGTTGCAGCATTATTTCCAAAGTGACCCAGACATCAAGGTAAAAAAATAAAACCCCAAAAACCAGGGAGCTGCTACAGTTAAAAATTACTCCCAAGGTGCCATACAGCAACACAAGAGCAATTATGAAAGCAGTACAGAAGTGGGATGAAGCATGATGGACTCAGTACAGTTCAAATTACAAAGTAACAAATTGCTGCATTCCAGCTTTTAGCTTAAGCTCCCAGATGACACCCACAGACAACCTAATCTTTGATTAGGTCAGCAAAACCAGTAACTTTATTAGCAACCATTATGGGATTGAACTGTAGCTGAAGAATGAGCTCTCTGTTAGACAGTGCTATATAGTGAACTCTTTCTAGTCGAGGCCAGCAAGACAGACCTTAATGTTAATCAAATATCTGCGATCCAGCAACTGGTGTCTTCAGAAGCCCAGGTCATGATTAGTTGTGATGAGACTCTAAGTACCTGTGGCCAACTCTGAAAATGGGAATTTGGGTCCTTCAGTTCTTAGTAGTCTACTTAAGGGTATTCAAAGAAAGCTTCAGCGTTCCTCTAAGTTCTCCATGGCTTGCTCAAATCTCCAAACTCAAACTCAGCTTCTCCACCCACACCATTGGTCAGTAACACGCAGAGATTATACACCACCCCACCCCCAAACCTAAGGCATTTCCCCACAGAAATGAACCGCATCAATAAAACAGACAATTATTTAGAACTGCCATCAGGCTTAAGCAATTTTTTACAATTCCATATTACCATTTACACATATGTAATATGTAATTATGATTATGCTTCCCAGTATAAATTTGTGCAAGAAACAAAGTTTAGGCTTTAATTACATGCAACTGTTTTATGAACTGATGACTCTATTTAGAAGACGTCAGAACAAAAAAATATTTAAGCTCACCTACTGACAGCAGACGCCACATGACGGCAGGAGTAGCAAAGCAAGCAAACACATCGTCAGTGCAGGCAAAGTGAGTGAGGTGGGGGAAGGTCACGGACTGCCCTCGGCACTGGCCCCACATGTACACCTGGCCACTCTGGGTCTTGGCAGCTGATGTGTTAGCAGAGTGGCAGGCTGCAATCTCTATAACTCTGAATTTACAAGCAAACAAAGAAATTAAAGCAAGTCACTCTCATAAGAACAAAATGCAGTAAAAACACTACTGCCTCCTGTCTTTCTCTGGTGCAAACGGTACTTTTAAGCATGCATGTAAGCAAGAACATTTTCTGATCAGACACAGCAAAATTAAAAGGGCTATCAGTATTTCTTCAAATAGCATGCTCTCAGAATGTGTCTCTGTGGAAAAGTAACTTGGGAGCGAGCAGACACTGCTGCAGCAGAGCTGTGTATCTGCTGCAGCACATGCTCTGCTGATCCCCTTGGCTCCCTCAAGCAAAACTATGATGAGTTTCAGGTCTCTGAATGTCCTCAGTGGTGCTGGGCAGTGAGGTGAGTGGCTGCATTAAGCTGTAGAGAACAAATACTTGGAGAAGATTAAGAAGGAAATGAGGACACATTTAAAAAAAATTTTAAAAAATGTGCATTTTGGCTTGTAACTGAAAGTTAATGAAAACCTTTTTTTCTGCTTGCTAATTTGTAACAGTTATAAACTAACAATTTAAATACACTTCTTTTAATTTTTAATAAGTGAAGTGTTGTTACTCATATAATTATTATTACTTATGTTTAACAGATTTTCATTTTGAAAATTAAAAATTAGAACGAAGCAGCTGTTTCTAAGTGTGTTTTAGCTAGGCTATCTCTCTAATCTTAAGGTTGATGTAAGACTTACAAACTCCCACTGTATACAACATTACACAATCCACTGTTCTGCAGTCTTAACTATTGCTTGTTTACTTGCTTCCCCAGCTGCCTGGGGAAAATGGCTGGGAAACAACTTGTTTAAAGCTGCATGCACAAATCTTGCAGGCTTTCACGAGGCGATATTCTCACTGACACTAAGAATGCGTATTCTGGCAAAAAAAAGCAAAAGGCAGCATACAGCACTAAAACTTGTATAAATTACTGTAACATTTTAATTGTTGTCAAAGTGTCTGGAAAAAAAAAATCTGTTACATTTTAAGCAAAAACACAAACACACACAAAGAAATAGCAATGTTCAAGATCATAGAATCATAGAATAGATTGGGTTGGAAAAGACCTCCAAGATCATCAAGTCCAACCCCTGATCCAACTCTAATTACTATATCATGGCACTAAGGGCCATGTCCAATCTCTTTTTAAAAACTTCCAGGGATGGTGAATCCACCACCTCTCTGGGTAGGCCATTCCAATACCTGATCACCCTCTCTGTAAAGAATTTCTTCCTAACATCTAACCTAAACTTCCCCTGGCAGAGCTTGAGCCCATGTCCCCTTGTCCTGTTGTTGGTTGCCTGGGAGAAGAGACCAACCCCCACCTGGCTATAACTTCCCTTCAGGTAGTTGAAGAGAGTGATGAGGTCACCTCTAAGCCTTCTCTTCTCTAGACTAAACAATCCCAGCTCCCTCAGCCTCTCCTCATAGGACTTGTGCTCAAGTCCCTTCACCAGCCTGGTTGCTCTTCTCTGGACCCGCTCCAGCACCTCAATATCCTTCCTGAACTGAGGGGCCCAGAGCTGAACACAATACTCAAGGTGCGGCCTCACCAACGCAGAGTACAGGGGAAGGATCACTTCCCTGCTCCTGCTGGCCACACTGTTCCTGATGCAGGCCAGGATGCCATTGGCCTTCTTGGCCACCTGGGCACACTGCTGGCTCATGTTCAGCCTCCTGTCAATCCAGACTCCCAGGTCCCTTTCCACCTGGCTGCTCTCCAACCACTCTGTCCCCAGCCTGTAGCGCTGCAGGGGGTTGTTGTGGCCAAAGTGCAGGACCCGGCACTTGGCCTTGTTGAACTTCATCCCATTGGAGTCAGCCCATCTCTCCAGTCTATCCAGGTCCCTCTGCAGAGCCCTCCTGCCTTCTGGTAGGTTGACACTCCCTCCCAACTTGGTGTCATCAGCAAATTTGCTGATGATGGACTCAATCCCCTCATCTAGGTCATCGATAAAGATGTTAAACAGGACTGGGCCCAGCACTGATCCCTGGGGGACACCACTGGTGACCGGCCGCCAGCTGGATGCAGCCCCATGTCTCATCCCCAGAGTGGAGATGACACTTCCTTACAACAATGTACACAGACACAAGGTTAGGAGGGACATCTCACTTGTCTTATTATTCACAACAGAAGGCCAAAATCAAGACCTCAGTCTAGAACAGACTAAGATTTCTGGCCATATACATACATGGCTTTACAACAGCAATAGAAATAACTGCCCTGCTACCCGTCAAGGACTTAAAGGAAAGTACTTATCTTGCAAAAATCTAAGCTCAATTTTTAGACAACAATATCAAGAAGGAACTTCTTCCTTTTCTCTCTCTCCTGGATTATGAGCCACATTTAATAGCAGTAAAAACACATAACAATCGCATATGTTCACTCTTCATTTTTCCTGTGCGCTTGTCAAAAGTAGCATATAAAAATAAAACTTACATTCAGAGACAATAAAACTTTCATCATTGACTTCAAACCATGAAACTACATACCACTGAAGGGAAACTGCAATTAGAGCCTATAAAGTACAGTGTGAGCTGAAGCAGAAAATAGCGCATTCACACTCGGAATATTCATTTTCTCTTTCACAGGGGTGGTTATAGGGCAGATTCAAGAACTTTCAGTGAAAATTCTGTTCATATTGAGCAGATGAACCATTGCAGAAAATTACAGGCTACTACTTCCAAAAACAGATTAAAAATACCATAATTTTCTGTAGCTCTTCTGAGAGTATGTCAACTAATGTCTGACTGCAGGACTGTAAGTATTACCTGTCCTTATCCACAACAATTGATGTAGGGTAAGACTGGTTACTTTTATTCCCAGTACCTAACTGGCCATATGAATTGGATCCCCAGGCATATATCTGACCTTCATCTGTTAGCACTAATGTATGTGCATGGCCACAGGCAACCTACAAGGAATAATAAAGAGAAAAAAATAATCTCACTTTTATGTAACATAATACAGATAGATACATGTTATACTATAGGTTAATGCTATTGATACTATGTCAGTGTAAAATTTACACATATAGATAATTTTATTCAAAAGGAAAGGAAAGTAGACGAGGTGACTTTGAGGAAAAAATATACCAATGAGACACCCTGGCAGATAATTTCAAGAGCAGAGAAAAAAAAAAAAAAAAAAAAGATGGAAACTGAGAAAGGAGGAAAGCTATATGACAAATACAAAAAATACGCAGAAAAATGAAGATTGTCTGTCTTGCATTGACCTTGCTTTATGGGCAACTACTCCAATGTGAATAGCTTACCTCTGTAAAAACAGGTGAGGTCTCCCTCCCTGGTCCTCTCCTCCCTGACTTCCAGCCACACAAAATACCCGCTCCTGTGTCCACTCTAATGCTCACTGGGCTCTCTAATACCCCAACCCTAGAAGGCCAGGTTGGATGGGGCCCTGAGCAACCTGTCCAGTGGAAGGTGTACCTGTCCATAGCATAGGGGTTGGAACTAGATGACTTTTAAGGTCCCTTATGACCCAAACCATTCTGTGATCCTATGAACTTAACATCACTTGAAAAAAACTCTCACAATAGGGTCTGAGGACCACTGGTGCCTACATAAGGTCAGCAACCAGAGCAATCAGCCAGGAAAGAGAGGGATGAGACAAAACTCTCCATCTTGATGGCAGCACACAACTGTGTGAGCTCACAACCTCTTGTACAAACCCAAGCTGTCCTGCTGAGCTGCCCTCTCAGGTACCTCACATAAGATCGCTCAAATACCCACTTTACATATGCAGCACATGCCCCACATACAGACAGATACACAGTGCCAATATTAGCAGCAACAGTCTTGCTCTGATTGTGTTAATTTAACTTGGTAAAGCCAGATGGCTACCAAGAGCCAATTTACATTGTTCAAAACTAGTTCACATATATTTATATAATCTGCAAAGCATATATACCACAAGTACATTTAGTCCACTGACATACACGAAGCATGTGATGTGCTTTGAATGAAGAAAATCCTTGATTTATTTACTGATTGGAGGTCTTCAACATGGTAGTAATCAGTATCAGGCAAAGGAAGTGGATGGAAATAGGATCTAAGCCAAACTTACTGGAGCACTCACTCTCTAAATAGGAGAATAAATACAGGGGAACATAACACTCACTTTATTACATTACTCTCCATCAGCAATTGTTACCAGAAAAGCTACTGTCTGCACCCTAGGCACTGAATGTAAAACTATGTAATTAAATTAGTTTCTTTCAAAGAAATCTTTTAAAGAAAAGATCTAAAAAATCCCTAATTTCCCTGAGCAAATGCAATGCAATAAATATGATCCAAAGTTCAAAACACTCTTGTACATTTTCATTAACTTCAAAACCACTGTTTTCTAACAAACAGTATATTCTATTTTGCTTAAATCAATTAAAAACTTTCAGTATCATCTCTGCAGTTACTTTAAATATTTCTTACCAGTCAAAAGAAGTTATCAGTTTGCTAGTTACACTGATGGCAGCCCAGCTAGTTGGTCAAGTGTGATAACCTATAAAGACCAAGACTAACCATGAAATCATACCAACTGTTGACCAAAAGCAGTTGGAGACAATTAGTTCACTCCTTAAACACCAGTCAGTCACTGTGGCTGGACTGCATTTATAAAACTGAGATTCAGTCTGCAAGACAAACAAAATGCTAAACTGCAGTATTTCTCCAGAAAAGAAGGCAGGAGTTAATGAAGAATAGGATATCCTAGAAAGACTCTTAGGATGCATGTTTTTTTATTCTGATAAATTGCACTTTAAACAGCGAGAGAAAGGACTGTCTACTTCAAATGTAGCATATGTATGCCTTAGGATACTTTCAGTGGTTCACAAAGGGTTTGCCACGGAGCATCACAGACGTACCCGCTGCACACGAATGCCCTGCAAAGCTGCGATTCGGCACGGCGTTGGCTGGTTGCCACTGCTGCCCAATCCAAGCTGGCCATTCCCATTGTAACCCCAGACATACACCTTGGAACAGAGACAGGGATTTTTAACTGTTTGCTACTATCTCCTTCTCTCAGAAGCAATAAAACTACTTCAGAGTCTGAATAATAGTAATTTTTCTCAAGATTTCTCTCCCCACATTTCAGGATCTGTACTTTACACGTAGATACACAGACACACACACGTACACATACCCTTATAAGCATACATATATACACACATACATGTTTTTCTGCACTGCAAATTTTGGATGCCATTTCTCTTTAAAATACCAACTCATCTAGAACTCTAAACTTCCACATTCATGTTGCTCTTTAAGAGTTAGATTATGTAAGACTACAATATTTTAATAAGAAGAACAGAAAAGAAGTGATTCATATGCCCGCCTGCCAGCACAGAGCAAATTCAGTATAATACTTCCCTTTTTCACAGAGCTAATTTCTCATTCCAAAATCCTCTAACAGAAAAGAAAACACACTAAAACAAGCATAAGCTGGAAGCTATGCCCAACAGTCTGAGTAGGCAGCTTTACACCAAACATAAAAAGAAGGGAAAATACTGAGCTCTGATTCTGTTTTAGTGACATATGTTCTATTGCAGTCAATAGCTACTTAGTTTTAAACTCAAATGCTGTCCAAAATCTTCAGCTCACATGAACCGAAAAAACAGTAACTCTACAACCTCTTTGTATCTTTGCAAGGAGGATAAAGAAGTATGAGAGAAATTCAAGAGGTACTGCAGTACAACAAATATATGCAATACACTTTTATTTTCTTTGTTTTCTCTTGAGATAAGGTGTGTGTATATGAGCACTGAAAATTATAATACCATTCACTGATTATTCTCATACTCAAGATTCTAGTATAGACAATAGTTTATCTACGAATGCTAAAGACAGCAGTGGGATAATGTATAAATCAGCACCTTAATTTTTACTAGAATATAACATCAGCTCTAAAAATCAGTAAATCAGTGATAAAATCTTAGTTACTTTTACATACGAGAAAATGCAACTGGCATGAAATGCTAAGTATACATACATATATATTCAATATTATTTAATCCCGAATGTATAAAAATCTGACCTTCACAATGCTATTTTTACTTTAGAACTGTATTTTCAATTAAACTTGAAATTTGATACTTGAACTCCTACAGCTCAAAGCCAACTGCAATAGTTGATACAAAGTAACAGCTGCTAAATTTTATGAGAAATTACAGAAACTGAAAAGCCTTAAAACAAATGTCAGTGAACAATTTTACCTGTTTCACTCTACCTCCTCTCTAAAGAAGAAACCACAATCAGCATGGATAGGAGGGTGTGTTTAAGTATGTTGGAATGTGCAGGACAATTCATGATAAAGGTTTTTAGGAGCAGTATAAGCAGGTAGACTTGAGGGAGTCTGGAAAGGTATACTTTTCTGAGAAATAGCTCATTACTATCAGGTTCAAAATTACCTACATGCCAAATTATTACATAAAATAAAATTCAGCCCAAAAATTCACTTCGAATTTCATACCTCTCCATTTTCCACCACAGCCATGGAACACATCTGTCCACAAGCTATATTAACTACTATTTTATTTTGTAGGCAGCTGGTAACTCTTCGAGGAATTGGTTGATTAGCAGTCGAACCAGATCCAACCTGGCCTGAGTTATTATAACCCCATGTGTATACCTGTTGCAAGAGAATTGTCATAAAAAATAGCTATATAACATACAGTTCGAAGTACATATTCAAGAGACAAAAAAGTGATATGCATGAAAAATGATATCTTAAGTTCAAGTGGATGTATTCTAGTACTAGGAAGCTACTAGGAAGATACACAGGTTTACAACTGAATTGTTTCTAACAAAAATACACCAACCTAATTACTTATATATCCCATTCTTTTATGTTCCTCCACTCAAAGGTAAGAGGCAACAGGACTGCTGCATTAATGCTGGAATAATCCATTTCTAGTTTTCCAGAACCCAAAGTAGAATGGCACAAACGGCACCTCCAAGTAAATGACAGGAAACTTTTTACTTTAGCAGGTAGAATTCCTTAGATTAATGTACTTTACATTAAAGTCAGCTTTAATGCCATTAAGCATTTACAGTAGAAGGTAACATAGGAAGGAACTGGCTTCCTTCTACAAAGAAATCATATTTTGGTATTACAAGCAGATGTGGTACAAAAATCAATATTCCCCATGCACTTCAAAACCACTACAACCTTACGGGTTTAAACTTTTTTTCAAACATTTGTGTTGCATCAGCACTGTGAAGACAGCAAAAAGCAACCTCTAATGCTCTAGGTGCAGAATGCATTCCTGTTTCTCACATATGTGAGTTTCATTATGAGAAAATAGGTATTTACTCCTGCTATTCTCACCTCTCCATCAGATGTTAACACCATAGAATGATGAGAGCCACAGGCAACTTCAATAACTTTCTTGTTCACCAAGTTAGTAGAGACTTGACAGGGAACGAAGCCATGATTTGTTGTACCATTGCCCAACTGACTATAAGCATTGTGACCCCATGTATACACTTCTCCTTCTACAACAAAAATGTAAAGAGCTGGTTTAAAAATCTCTATTTTTCCAGTAAGCACACGATGTAAAACTACAAACTGAAAAGTCAAATTCAATAACAACACACATATTTAAGTGTATAAATATATATATGGCCTTTGGGGCTCTTCAGCCCATGGACATACCAATGCTACCTTCACATAGTGTCAAACGCAAACCCAAAATGATAGCATCACCATAATCATAGTAAAGGAAAGCATTGTTACAAGAAAAGGGGTGGTGCAATACAGAAAAGAAAAGGATGAAATGACAGTCCCTATTTCAATTTCTTTGTTACTGACAGTCAAAGTTTCTTGTCTATGCTCTGGCACTGTTTCCCACTTTGGAAAATTCAAATAACAAGCTTACAATATGCATGAGGATGCTTGTAAGAAAAACCTATTGCTACTTACTAATAAAAATTGTATTATTTACTTATTATTTAAACATACTATTCATGCCCTGTATTTTGGAAAACACTAGTAAAATTAAGACTGCAAGAAATGTTTGATTGTGTTAGACCCAATGGTTGACCAGTGCAAAATTTTGTCTCCAACTGGCAATAGCAAAACCAGCTTTCTGTTTAAGGGATACACAAGCTTGGTCACTTTTTGCAGTTCCTAAGCACTGACAATCATTAGAGTACAGATGTTACAAGGTACTTCAATTCTCTTCAGTGTACATATATTGGCCTCTTCTCTATGAATGTAACACCTTTTCATACTCGCTTTCCTTTATCTGTTTTAAAGCAAGTGTCCTCTAGTTACAGTAGTGCAGGACTTGATGAATAGCTCTCCCACATTCATCTTTCTATTATCACCATCATTTTCTAAACCCAAATTATGCCATTACTGTAGGAGAGCTGGGTTTGATATACAACTCCATCAGATTTCTAAGGAGATCACCAAACTTCGTTATCCCCAAGAAGAGTTCCCTCAGAACTATAAAGGCAAAATATGCTACATTAAACCAATATTTCCCTATAATAACTGGTTAAATCTAATCACTTTATCCTGTCAAAAGTCAACATTTTCTTTGTTTGACCAACATGTGAATACAAATTTCAGTGAAACAGCCACACAGAAACATACTGGAAATGACAATAATTAACAGAATACTGAATGGAAATTATTCATATGAATGGAGTTATGGATAAAAATGATCAGGGATCAGTTCTAGATCCCTGACTCTTTTGCAATACTTCATCATCTGGGCAAGAAGTGTGAGTGTATCAGTGAGAACTGCTATCAATAGAACTCAGAATAATACAGATACATATATAAAAAATGGATGCAGAATGATCTGCCATGAGGACTAGAGAAAACGGTGGAACATAACTGAATATAAAGAATACATTTACAGCATCATTCCCCTCACCTACTTTTAGTCATCTAATCTAGACTACTCAAAAACATTTCCTGTCATTAATGTAGAAAGAGAGACAAATGTGAATATCATCAGTCAGGCTCTAACAGAACCTCACTCGGAACAAAATATTAATAATTTGTCTTTGAAAATAATGCACTTAATTATGAACAGAAGGGCCACTACCATGACATGGATAATAGAGTGTCAATGCAGGAAACAAAAGGCTGGGAGGTAATTAAACAGGTCTTTAAAGCATGTTCAAAGGTAGGTACTGGAGAGAAAAGATGAATTTTAGCTAAAGGACAGTGTTGCCACTCTCTCTCTCTCTCTCTCCATATATATATATATATAAAACCAGGTATAATATAGCCACTAATGCATTTCAAAAGCAATCAGAAGTTCCAAACTTAACTGAAAAGTGAAAAAAAACCATCCTAAAAGTAGTTACAAGATCAAAGTAGAGCTTGAAAAGCTTTTGAAAATAACAAGCTATGAACAAAGCTAGCTGACATGTCATATTCACCAATGAAAATATGTTGGACTTAACAGCCCAGAATACCTCTCTCTATGTTACCACTACAGACCTTTCACATCTGCTGAATGAATTAAAGTGGACTTGTCAGAAAAACCAATATTCAGATCATACTTTACCTTCTGTAGCAAGAACAACGTGAGGGCCACTTCCATAACTCAGACAGGCTATCTTTTTGCCACATAGGGAATCTAACCTCTTTGGTTCAATAGTACTCTGCATGTCTCCTGTTCCCAAACACCCACTGCAGTTCATGCCAAGCACAAAAACCTGTTATAAAAGAATCACAGACTTAAAATTTAGGTTGGAATGGAGCCTTCTCCAAAGGTCATTTAGTCCACCTCCCATGTTCAACAAAGATCTAAACAGACCAGTTGACTCAAGGCCGTGTCCAGTCAATTCTCGAATATCTTCAAGTAAAAAAATCCCACAATACCTCCAGAATTTAAACCCTCTTATGGTAACTTTTATTTTCTAGTACTGAATCAGAATTTCCCATCTGCCAGTTTATGTCTCATTCTGTCACTATGCACTTGCAAGAAACGTCAAACTCCATCTTCTCCTTATCCTCTGATTGTGGTAGGAAGCCATTAATTTAAACTCAAAATGTTTCAGTAGCAAACAAAATAATCAGACATTTTTGCATGCAACTTTCTCTAGGTACATTATCATAGCACCGGCTTTCAGAATAACTTGATACATAAGTGATTAAACATGCCATGTTCATACACACTCTTGGACAATTACCTCATCATTTTCAGTTGCATATAACACCTCATTACCAGCACTGCCAAATACACAGGCTTGACGAATTAACTTGAGCTCCTCTTGGGAACAGAGAGAAAAAATTGGCCATTTCCCAACATCCAGCATCTTCAAGGCTGACAATAGTGTTGCCTCCAAGACCTGCTATTATAAAAAATGCTATCAAATACCTAGACAGAGAGATATATATGCTTTTGCACAGTAAAAAATCAGAGAAACACCACTACCTCCTTCTTCAACCACAAATCAGTATTTTAATTCTAGAACAATACTTGAAAGGAAGACATTAAAATAAACAAACAAAATATATCATGATGTAGAAAGAAGGGATCTATATTCATAGAGAAAAGTACCATACAAGAAGTTAAATGGAGAAGTCATAGTTTCAATGTATTCGTACAACATAACAGCTAGCTTATAGAACTCAGTGTACAGGATTCTAATATAAACCGTAAAGTACATATTCAAAACTCGAAATTTGTGTATTTTCCTCTGGGGCTAAAATTACTGTTAAAAGAAGAAACCAGAAAAAAAGTCTGCCCAAGATTATACTTATCTTTGAAAAATATACACATTTGTTTTCATGCACTGAAACTGAAAACTTGAAAAAGGAAAAAGTTTCTCAAGTTTTCGTCTTTACTTCTGAAATTTACTTCTGTCTTTCAACAAGTATCAAGTCTTTGGGAGCTTCCTAAGAATATTTGCATTTTAGGAAAGTAGACTTTTAATAAAATAAAAAAGATAACTGAACATTTTCCAGCTTATCCAAGGACAGATTATAAGTCTACAGTTAAAGGAAACGAGTAAATGATCTGTCCCAACATCAAAACTAGTCAAGCAAATGTCTGAACCTCAGGCAACATTTCTACTGCTTTGGTATAGCATTAAGTAGAAAAACACTGCAGCATCAAAATTTAATAACAAATTCTACATGGTGTGTGCATCAAATTTTCTTCACCAAAATTGAAACAAGCTCTCCATGTGACAGACTTTACTTGCCAAATCAGAAGATAAGCAAGAATAGACTTTACTTATCACAGGTATAATGTATATCACCACATAACAGTGAGGACTGCATCATTAGTTTATTTTAAGCAGATTTTTCAAATTATCTGTTACACTGCGTATTTTTTCTACCTCTGGCTGAAACAAAGATGTGAATAAATTCTAGTTTGGAGTCTGAAGCATGCTGTGTCTGTCACAAGGAAAACATTTACTGGGAAAAAATGTACACAGAAATACAGATAACATTTGAAACTCAAAATATAAACACTAAATTAATCCAGAATTTTAAAAAAAAATTAATTTTAAAGTAACAAATATCACCTAATGACACATTTCTTTATTATATACTTCTGAGAAGAGGAAAGGAGGATTGGTCATTTTCACAAAAACAAAAATAGTTGTGGTTTTGATCACACTAGTTCTTTCTCCGTCTCCTCATAGCAAGTAACTGACCAATTTCAGCCACATTTGCAAGTGAAAGGGAAGTAAGATTCTGCTGACACAATCCAGTTGGCAGCAGTCAGCTGGACAAAGAGACATTATATTATGAAATAAGTCAGCAAGCAAGTAGGTACAAGTTAGTCCTAGCAAATGTTGTCCTCCGTGACACATAGCAGGCTAATCAGAGACGAAGGACCAGAATCCATATGGAATCAGTCTTCATTCATCTGCTGTTTGCAGAATAGTTTGTTTTATGTCAAGAGGTTAGCATTAATTCTACAGCCCTCTTAAAATATGATAATGGATACTGAAAGCATCACAGACTACTCTTCCAATTGCATCACCAAAACTGCATCCCACTTTTGCTCAAGACTGACGAAGCCTGAGGTTCAAAATGACAGTCAGGGTGTCCTTCATTTGTACAGATTCCTTTACTGGAATAATATATTGATTTCTATACAATGTGGGCTCTGAATTACAAATGCTCAGTGGGTCAGAACCCATTCATTTTAAATAGAAGAGTTTTTACTGTAACTTCCTTCTAGAAAGTACTCAAGTCCTACCCTCATAATTAGTACGTTAAAAAAACCCAAATTGTAGCATTTCTTAACACTAAAATAATGCACTGAAAGAAAAGTCCCTAACTAATCTTATAATAAGCAGTCAAGGACATACTTATGATATTTATATTTTTTTAACAAAAGAAATAATAACAACTTTATCAGATAAAAAATATCCATAATCTAAATCATGTCTCTGGAATTATTAGTTACATTCAACTCAGTAAGAGTTACTTTCACCTTTCAATACTTTCTCCCCTCACACACTTCTCCATTATATTTAGTTTCAAGAAAATGAAAAACAGCTTGAACTATCAGCCTGCCAATATTTATATCCCATAAGTGATCAGTTTCCTCATTATATCACAAGAAGTCATGAAAGGCAGAGTTACATCTGACTCTTAGGACACAGACCTGAATCATATGAATATATTGTTCTTCTAATATTTCATGGGTCACTTAAGCAAGATTTCTTTTGCCAGTATCCTTTCTTCTACCTATAACTTCTGTTTTCTGTCTATCTTGAAAGCCACCAGCATTTACAAAGCTACTGCTAAATGGAACCAAGATTCTTCCTTTTGAGCAGAGCAGTACAGAACTCCCAATACAAATTCACAGTCTGACCTTGGCACCGACTCCTTGAGGAGGAGGTTCATCCTCCATATGGATTTGTGCTTCTGTCCCCCTGCAGAGAGAGAACTGTGGTTAAAATCACCATATCGCATTGCTGCAAAACTACATTATGAAACTATACACACTTAATATTAAGCCAGAGCTATTTGATTCTGTGGGGTGAGAAAACAAGTAATACAAAGCTCACGCAGTTCTGCTTTTCTATTCAACTGTACAACTATCAGTTAGACAGACTCTGCACTTCTGTATTCTTACGTAAAATATTAATTCTTGGACAAAACCAGGTTTTCTGAAACAAGTAGTAGAACTAATCATTCTGTGACTGGAAAGAAAGATGCTTTACAAACATAACGCTCTAATGTCTTTTTATTGCAGTAGAAATAAATTGAGAATCTTGTTGACATAATTCTTCAAGACATTTCTTTCTGCAAAGAAAAAGCACGCTGGCCAGAGGATTCCATTTCTGGCCTAAGCCTTCAAATGCTTTTTTTCCAGTTACATTATAAAAACTAATATTAGAAAAATATTTGGGTCTTTTCAGGTTTACTGAGAGTTGTTAACATACTCATTCTACTTCAGAAAATATTGCCAGAAAATATTGACTTAAAATTACATGTCTGTAAAATTCTGACTACAGGCAAAATAACATCCAACAAGAGAGCTACCAATTTACTGAGTTACTTTTCAGAGGAATATCATGCTAAAAGAAGTATCAAATGCAGCTGCATAAAATGACCTAACTTACTTCTCAACATGTTTCTTACGTAAGACTTCATGCCATAAGACCTAAGCCAAGGACATAAAATATATGAAATTCATACGACTTAAGTATTATAAATGTTAATGATTTAACAAATATAACTTAATTTACTGAATAAACAAAAAAAATTATTTACTTAAAACTAATAAAAACCCAAATAATTGCTGCAGCTCAGCTATACTGAATATGCACACTGTTAAGCTTACTCTTTACAAAACCCACAAATCTAGATATGCACAGTGTATTTTATACTCTTAGTTTGGACATTAAATGATAAATTCAGCTCATGTGTGAAAGCCCAGCTACTCTCTTGTCCATGTTGACTCTGAGCTTAAGGCTCAAACACACAACCAAACAGAAATAATTTGAAGCTAAGTTATATTCCCTTTCAACTAGAGAAGACTAAAGGGCTGATAGAGTTGCCTACACGTTAGCACCTACTGCTATTTGAGATAACCTTGGTGATCCCCGACACCAAACAGTGCTGGCAGATACAGGACCTATAGGGAATCTGTGCCAAGCTGGAACAGCAGCTAAGAATTAAATGGCACCAGGCAGTTATCCATGTGCAAGTGGGCAGAGCCCTAAATAAACACATGCAGCCATTTACCATGTTTTACCAGCTTCACGGAAACAGGGTAACCTGTTCAGCTCTTGCAGTTAAGCAATTTGTTATATTTTCTTATTTTCTTCAACACACTTACTTGTACAAGAATTTGCGTACATTATCTCTACTTAGATTAGAAACAAATCACCTAATCAAGGCCTTGGGCATGACCACAGCCTGAGCAGGACTGTACCACTGAACTGAAGTCCTGAAACATTTCATTTCAAGTATGTAACTAGTCCTACTGTGTAACTGATTATCAAGGCTATCCAATATTTTGCAGTATCAATTTCCAGCACTGCCTAGCAATGCTGTTATGGTACCCATTTCTTGGCCATCCTTAGCCTACACCCAGCCTACACCCAACAATTAATTTTCTAATTTAAATAAACGCAGAATTCCAAATTTTCTTCCTCAGGCCATTTGATACATAACTGATATCCATGATTTTTCCATTTCTAATATTTTCCTTCAATTGCGTCTGTTCGGAGAAAAGCACGGTTTGACTTTAAAAGCAGTTTGTTAGTATAAAGAAAGATACGTTAGGGTCTAATCATCTCAGTTTCATGTTTGCCTACTTATAAGAATTTTCCCTCCAGAGGAACAATCATTGTATATGCAGAGTGAAACACTGAAAAAACAGTATTTTCATCAAAAATGAAGAGAAAAATCCTGTATATTTGACTAAATCAGGTACAGAAGAAAAACATATCGTAGCTATTTCAGACAAGTTATTGAGTTCGTTCATCTACTAAATCTTACAATATTCACATAATTGCTAAAAAACCTTACTTTAAAATAGTTAGCTACTACATCTAAAAAAAATGCAATGCTTACTTTAGAAAGTAAAAGGGTAAGCAAAAAAGATTTCCCATGTATTAAAACTTTATATAATTTTCACTAGCTGCATTTCTGCAAAAAAATTCTAAAGTGCAGATCTAAAGGAGAAAACATCGTTATTGTAAACATCCATTTCTTGAGGAAGTGCATAGCATTTTGATACGAAAATATTTATATTAACATTTCACAAATCTCTTATCTGGAATCCAAGAACAATTAAGAATCTGGACAGAATACTCTGGCAGTTTGAGTTTAGGACTTTGAATCTGAAAGTTCTGAAAGTCCTGACCCTCGTTGCAGTCCAGCCGTGATAGGTCTTTGGGTAAAGCACACATGCTTCTGCAGTACAGATAAGACTGAGTTAAGGAACATAAATACTAATTCTAACAGCCAAGCTCTATTAGCAGTCTAAGACCATTTAACTCTAAATACTTAAACAGGTTCACTGACTCATTAGAATGTAAACATTCTTGTAGATTCTCTCTCTAGGAACTTGGCAAGCAAACAAAAATTTTGAGAACTCCACTTAGTATTTCCTCCCACTTAACTTGAGCATTTATGAATCTCATCTGCCAAATCAAAGGTCTGTCTGCAGCTTCTTCCCCAAGGACTCTAACCACAGGCCTAGGAAAAGGAAAAATTCACAGAAAATATGTGACTTGATGAGACTTTTAGGAAAGGAACCAAACTTTCTCTATTTCTGACTTCTCAGCAGTTTCCTACTGGAGTAGTCATGACATGATGCTACCTTGTCCAAGCAATTTTGCAGGAGAGATAAGACCAGTAATATTGCCAACATGTGCTCTGATTGAACAGGTTGCATTCCTTTTTAGGAAGAATATTTTCAAAATTATCTTCCTTTTTCATGTACATGGTGTGACTCTTAGGGATGACCCTGTGCAGGGATAAGGGCTGGACTCGGTGATCCTTGTGGGTCCCTTCCAACTCAGCATATTCGGTGATTCTCTGATTCTGTGAAATGTCACTACCTCATCCAGTGCTGACAATAAATTGACAGAACTCAGCTTATCATTCACTCCTCCACTGATGCAGCATTTTCCATCACCAAGGAATTGCAGACCTTGAGAAACAGCAACTGGTTGTTTGAAAAACTGCTGACTCCAACTAAAGCATAATCTTCTCTCCTTCCCTTCTTGCTTCATGACACCAGACTGTGAATTCTTGGCTCCGGACACAAGTTCCCCTGTCTGGCTACTAATTGCATGAGCAAATCTATGTGCAGTTTAGAGGCTAGATCCAAGAAACTCTTAAAGCCAGGAATATTTAGTCTAAGAGACTGACATCCTTGACCTTGCAAGGTAGGCAACTGCTAGAGAAATTTATAGTTAAAATTATTTGAGATAAAACAGCTTTATTGCCTCAATCTCCAGAGGCAAAACTTTAGTCAGAAACATCTTGTCAGACACCACCTATCTTTTGGCATGACATCCAGTTCCACCTGTGTGCTCCAGGGATGGACCTCCAGCATGACTCTACTGAAGTTTTCAGAGGTTCACCTACATGCAGGCTGCTGTATCAGAGCTAGATGATTGAAACCTATCTGCAAAGCCCTTCCTTCCAGTATCATCATCACCCTCAAACAAAAATTGGTTGCCATAAACACAAACAGTGAAAGATAAGATGTAACCAACACACAGAAGAAACATGGGCACATGAAAAGTAAGGAAGATAGTGGGAATACTGTTCTGTTACCCATATTTAGAAACATCTTCCAATAGAGGTTCAACACTACTGCAGTGAAGAGCGAATACATCACCGTAAAATGTTTTGAAAGAAGTGAGAAAATAGGATAGAAAACAGAGGGCATGATTTTTCAACTTCACAATGGTTTAAAAATAAGTGTTAGGGTCTGGTGTGAAATTTCTGCCCTAAGTGAAAAAATTGCTTTGAAAAATCATACATAGACTCCTGAGAACACCTTCCACTCACCTCCAAAAAATTTAACAGTGGGATTTTGGGCTAGCAAGACAATTTGTCTAATTTGGTTTTTAGAAAGTCACCTAGGACTATTAAAAGTCCTGTATGATAGAAAGACAAGTGCTCATATTAAGTTTCTTTATTTTTCTCTTTACTATTCCAATTACTTTTTCTGTTTTAGAACTGTTTATCACCATCACTGATGTAGAATGGTGGATTGTTTACCAGCCAGCAACAAGAGTGGAAGTGATTGAAAAAAATCATCATCACACACAAGAAGGAAGATCTTTATAGCAGAAGAAAAAAATAATCTTGTCTTGTTAAATAATCAAACGTTCTGTCAGATAGTCTCTTGAGAACAGGATGTCATTCCTGTATCTAAATCTAACCTAATGTAGTCTAATTTAACCTAAATATAACCTTAGATGCTAAAGAAAAATATTTGTTCACAATTGTGATGTGGCTGATCCAAGATTTTCAGAAAATTAACTTGAAAAGTTCTTCCTCTTTGCTAAATTGTTAGCCAAACTCTAAACAGACTTCAGTTCCTGCAATCTATACATACACCAAACATAACAAAATATAACTGATGTAACTGCTGGCTCTTGCCTATTTTAAATGCTACATAAAATTTTATTTACCATACAATTGATTTGGTAGAATTGAAAACTTATTCTTCATTTTGACTTTCCAACACGAAAGTTGGAAAGGCTTTAGGGGAAAAAAATTACTTCAAAGATTTGATTTTAAAAGAACTTTATTAAAAATACAGACCATGTAACAGAACAAAACAATTCAAAATAATGCAGTAAGTATGGGAAAGAAACAGCTACTATTTTTTTTAATAAAGTTAAAGAATCATAGCACAGAAACTATTCAAGTTTTAGGAACTTAAGAAACACTAATAGGCCATGTAGTTTTTCAGGATAAATCATGTACAAACTTCAGATGTCAGGTGCCATTGTACCTGCACATGGAAGCCCGACTGAATATCAGTTCAATGCCATAGGAACTCCATGCCTGGGAAGATCCCTTCTGTTACTGTGTAATCATAGATACTGTATTGCATTAACAGAAAGCCATCATGCAAATGCACACATTTTGTTATGTTCCCTCTAGGTAGATCTGGTCCAGCCTAAACTGATGGCAGCCTGCAGTCACCTGAACCAGCCAAATCCTGAGCCACACATACACACAGATCTAGTTGTCCTCTGACCTCACAGTCTGTTCTAGCTGTTAAAGGAGAAATATTGATAGCTTCTACAGTTCGAACCTTTAATCCCCTCCTTAGATGTCCACAGAAGGTCATTCTATCCTTAGACTAAATGCTTTAATTTACAAAATATATCTTCTTAAACACTCTAAGCCTTAATAAAAAAACCTAAACGTAAGCATTACTAAACCACACCTGGCTTTCTTCCCTATATTCCTTGTTTACTTCAGGTTAGCACAACCCGCACATCGGAGCCTTGGTCCGTGACAGTCTCCTGCCTACACCTAAGAAGGCTACATATTGAGTCACCAAGATCTTTTTCAAGATGATGTCTAGCACAGCTCCAGCATGAATCTGGCTGTAGCATCCCTTTAACACTGGGCATTTGCCAGAGCACTTCCCATGAACCCAGCATGCAACGCCTGGGTGAGTGGGAGGATGGTGAAATCGTTCCCTGACACACAGTCAGAATTTACCTAGGTATATACCTGAAACACACATATACAGAGGTATATACATCAAACACATACCTAAAAAAAAATTAATCTTATATTTATACAAATACACACACATCACAGGTATTATATTCCCAGAGCTAAGAATTCTGATAGTTTCAATTTTTATGGTTATAGCTGTCTGCATACAAAGATACTGTATGTTAAAGAGGAGATACAATCTCTCTCCCTACATTCTATAAGTAAAAGGTGTATATGAAGCTCACTTCCTCTACCAGTAAATGACTCTGTAACTGTCCATTTGTGTATTTAAACAGCCTTCTGATACTGGAACTGCTAAACTTTAAGTGGCAAGAGCATTGGATTAGATATAATACATAGAGGTTTCCCAACTCTTAAAAATAACTAAGAGACAAAATGTTATTCTTTATGGTATAAGTGTAGGCATCTAATATTAATTCTACCCACTGGAGTAGTCTCCTCAAAACTGCAACAGATCACATGCATCATGATATCATGGTCATTTTATCTCAAATTTATCTCTCAGTGGTCTTACTTCTATTATTGCTTTTATCTTACTTCTACCTATTTTACTTACATGATTAAAGAAGCTTTAAAAAACAATTTTCTATAACTAACTGAGAATTACTTATGTCAATCCTCACTGTAGAACTGCACTTTACCTCTTAATTTTTATTTTACTTAACTATCATTTTTCTACTCTTTATTCCTAAAATCCTTTTTGAGATGGGTAGAAGTTGTTTTCAATAGATCTTTTCTCTTTTTTTGGATATAAATTCCAAATAGATTCTACCTTTGGCACAAAACAGCTTTGTACCCTCTTTACTTCTAGGGCCCTCAGGGTTCCTGTGCAAACAACATCACTAATTAATCCTCCTGATTTTTCTAAGTTTGCCTATCTAAAATTGAGAATTTCAAACCCTGTCTCTGTTTAGTCACCTATTTTATTTCTATTTGTTTAAAAATGTCCAAGACACAAGATCACAAACTAATAACCAGTTCTTCCCAGAATTTTTCACACTGCTTACTGAGAGCAAGTCTAAAGCAATTCAGTGCTTATTTGGTAAACTTACAGCAGCTGTATGTAAGATCAACTGGACTGCTATACGCCCAAATGATGCTGTTATCTGTATCTATTGGTTGTTCAGCCTGGAAAAGACAGGGCTCCAGGGAGATCTCATTGTGGCCTTTCAGTACCTAAAGAGGCCTTACAAAAAATGAGGGAGAGCAACTTTTTATAAAGGTAGATAGTGACAGGACAAGGCAGAATGGCTTTAAATTACAAGAGGACAGAATTAGATGTTAGGAAGAAATTCTTTTCACAGAGGGTGGTGAGGGCACAAACACATTGCCAAGAATGTTGTGGGTGCCCCATCCTTGGGAGTGTTCCAGGCCAGGCTTGATGGGGCCCTGGGCAACCTGGTTTAGTGAGCAGCATCCACGGCAGGGGGCTGGAACTAGATGAACTTTAAGGTCCCTTTGAACCTAAACTATTCTGTGATTCTATGATCTAAGAAAGAAATCCATCTGTGACATAATTCCTGATAGCATCTCTCAGTAAGTGACAGTCTTATCCAAATACAACTCCTGCTGTCTATGGTAGACACAATAAAAAGCCCTTATAATTTTATTTTCTCAAAGCAATGATACATGTGCTTTACTTTTTTTTTTATCCACAAAATCTCTTCCTGCTACCTTAAGGTCCATCACACCATTCACATCCCACATCATTCTTACACATTTATTTCTCATATCTGGACAGCATTATCTCTCCTACCCACAGTTAGCAGGGCGATTGATTCTCCACATTTCCTTTACCCCACGCTTGCATTCATATCCTCCAGCACAGAATCACTGAATCACAGAACGGTTTGGCTTGGAAGGGACCTTAAAGATCATCTAGTTCCAACCCCCTGCCATGGGCAGGGGACACCTTCCACTAGACCAGGTTGTTCAGAGCCTCATCCAGCCTGGTCTTCAACACTTCCAGGGGATGGGGCATCCACAACTTCTCTGGGCAACCTGTTCCAGTGCCTCGCCACCCTTACAGTAAAGAATTTCTTCCTAATAGCTAATTTAAACCTACTCTCAATTTGAGCCCTTTCCCCCTCGTGTTGTCACTACATGCTCTTGTTAACAGTCTTGCCCCGTCTTTTCTGTCAGTTCCCTTCAGGTACTGGAAGGACCATCAGTTCAGCCCAAATGGTTTCTGATGGTGCACAAGCATGACTTCCTAGAGACCTTACTCTGTTCATAACCTGGAGTAAAATCTTTTTACTAACTGTGCCTGATATTAGGAATCCATCGATATCAGAAATTTCACCTCCACAAGGAAACACCGTTCAACCCGCCCGTCTCCGACACAATTAACGGTCCCTGGTTTCCAAAGTATCCTTTTTTTTTTTTTTTCCTTAAAACCTCACATCGTCACCAAGCTCAGCTTGTCTAAGGTGCCGCCGCCACCACCACACTCCTGTGCACCTGCGGGCATCGGGCACCAGCACCACACAAAGGTAACTCGTGTCAGAAGTGGAACACACGCACAGACACAACATCCCCCGCCTTCCCCCCGGTTTATCGGCCATTTCCAAATCCGGTGCCTGGGAGACGCAGCCCCGGGGAGCGGAGCACCCCAGGCAGCGCCCTCCCCCTGCCCCGCTCCCCACCGACGGCCGCACGGGGAAGCGAAACACAGGGAAGGGGGGGAGCCAAACCCCTTCCCTCCCCTTCCCTCCCCGCCGCCCGCAGCTTACCTTCCTTCCCCAAGCGGCGGCGGCCCCTCCTCCCTGCTCCAGTGAGCCAAGGGAAGATGCTGCCACGCTCAGGCGCCTCCTCACCGCGAAGGCGGGGGAACAAGGGGAAGGGGAGGGAAGGGGGTGGGCACCTCCCAGGGATCCACCCACTGCAGCAGCAGCCTGGAAAGCGGCGGCTTCTGTCCTCAGAGCCCGGCGGGGGAAGGGCTTCTGTCCCCGCGGCAGAGAGGCCGGCTGGCTGCCTGGGAATGCTTCATGCCTGGGAGTTCTGCCCTCTCCAGGCCTTGTCCCGTGTGATGACATGTCTGCTCTAGGAGGACATGGTCAGAGCGAGTGCGGTGTCGTGGGAGACACCACCACTTCCCACCTCAGAATCACAGAATCAGTTAAGTTGAAAAAGACCTCTGAGATCATTGAGTCCAACCCATGAGCGAACACTACCATGACTAGTACATGAACTAGACCATGGCACGTCCAGTCGTTCCTTAAACACCTCCAGGGACATTGACTCACCATGTCCCTGGGCATGCCGTTCCAGGCTGTTACCTGGGCCTTACTACATGTGGCAACAATGTATGACAACACATGACAACAAACACTGCATGAGACCTTTGGTCAAACGCAATTGTTAGGGGAAGGATAAATATTGCTATGTTGTTCCAATGTGCAATCACTTTTTTTTTTTTTTTTCCACAAAGGAAGTGGGAGAATATTAAATACTCCTCTATTTCTCCTATGGCTTATGTTTAAAATTAAGCACTTCCAAAGAGCATAGACTTGATAAGTTTTCCTAAAAGCAACAATCTGGCTGTTTTGCTTGGTTGTGACTCTTACCTGAGTGTGATAATACCCTGCTATCTTGCTGTGGTAGATATTCACTGAATTACAGAATATGCTGAAATGGAAGGGACCCACAAGGATCATAAGGTCCAGCTCTGAAGTGGATGGCCCATACAGGGATCGAACCCACAACCCTGGCAATATTAGCACTAGGCTCTAACTAACTGAGCTAGTCTTAGGGTCACTGAGTCCAGCTCCTGGCCCTGTACACGACTATCTCCAAGAGTCACACTGTGTGCTTGAGAGTATTGTCCAAATGCTTCTTGAAACATGTTGGCTTTGGTGCTGTGACTGCTTCCCTGGGGAGCCTGTTCCAGTGCCAAACCACCCTCTGGGTGAAGAATCTTTTTCTAATATCCAACCTAAACCTCCCCTGACACAGCTTCAGGCCATTCCCTCAGGTCCTGTCACTGGTCACCACAGAGAAGAGATCAGTGCCTCAGTGCCTGTCCCTTCTCTTCCTCTCACAAGGAAGTTGTAACTGCAATGAGGTCTCCTCTCAGTCTCCTGCAGACTGAACAGATCAAGTGCTCTCAGCTGCTCCTCATATGGCTTCCCCTCAAGGCCCTTCACCATCTTTGTTGCACTCCTTTGGATGCTCTCTAAGAGCTTAATATCTTTATTATATTGTGGCACCCAAAGCTGCACACAATATTCAAGGTGAGGCTGCACCAGTGCAGAGCAGAGTGGGGACCATCTCCTCACTCAACTGGCTGGTGATGCTGTGCCTGATGCCCCCGAGGACATGCAATTCAGAGACCTTTGCTGTGGTATCCAATGATATTGTTACACTTTTGCTGTGGAAACCTTATTCAGAAGGAGGAAGTTCGCTCTGGGGCTAAGGAGTTACCATCCTATCAAAAATGGAATTCCTTTAGCATCTAGGGAAGGTCTCAGGTTTTTTTGTGGGAATGACAGCCTCATGAGAATTTCTTGACATTTTAAAGATTGATATACTTGGATGCAAACCTTTGACTGTCCAAAAATTAGGTTTGTGTAAGTAAAAGTAAAGTAGCAAAAACCTGTCCTTATAGTTACCAAAGGAGTAGAGACTCCATACTTGTATGTTCTCCCTACTTGCTAGGTTGTGTGTGAGTCTCAGTCACCAGGCTTACATCCCATTCCTCACCTATATAATGCATGATGTGCCTGTAGTGCTGTTCACTGTACACTACCAGTGTTCTTCCCTAACATGCTCCTTAATGCCCATGTGTTTTCTGCCACTGACAGCAGTGTTTTCTGGAGTCACTATCTCCTTTTAGTTTGTCAGCTATTTTTTACACTTGAGAATGCACTCAACTTCCTATGCACGCATCCTGAATGCATTGTCATCTGCAAAGATATATGTTTACTGTTTTGTTGGTTCAGTCACTTTGGTTCTTCCAAGATGAGAGTATTTTTTGCTTGGAATTTTTGCTCTGAAATTCATTAATCCATAATGATGTGTGCAAAGTGTGGGATGGAAGACAATGAATTTTTGGGGACTGGGCTCATTAAGGACTATATACCATGTCCAATAGTTTCATTTTCTCTTTGTGTAGAATAAAATGATTACTCTGTAACACAAAGCAACTTGTCTGTTACCATGTTCCCTCTTCAGTTTTCTATTTTCTTGCGCACAGTTCGAGGGTGATGAGGGGGGGAATATTATCAGACAATCACAGAATGGTTTGAGTTGGAAGGAACCTTAAAGATCCTCTAATACCAACCCCTCTGCCATGGACAGGGACACTTTCCACTAGACCAGTTGGCTCAAAGCCGCATCCAGCCTAGCTGGATCTCAGATACATGTGTAAGTATAACAATACACCGGATAATTTCAGCCAAGCAGTCAGTGCTAACAACACCCAGTGGAAGCTGAAGATATTAATTTTCAGATTGGCAGTAAAGCTAAGAGTCATTGTCCCATAAAAAAAGTTTCAATATGGGCTGTGAGCTATATATTGATTCTTCAGTGCCCATTTCTAAAAAATATTGGATATTCTTCCTAAAGTTATGCTCTATTTAACTCCAAGTGCTGTGTTAGGCTGAAAGTTACACTTACAAGCAGTGGAACAGATGGTGTATTTGATCCACTGAAACAAAATGCAGTTTGATACAGTGAAATCCTTAAATCTAGAAGCAACGTAGATCTACAAGCATAGAAATTGAATTCTGGAACTGTTAGCTAAAAGATTGAGTTCAGTGAATGACAGCTGAAAGTGTAATGCCAGAGGATATAGAGGTGAAAAAGTGAAAATTTCATTCCTGAATGTGTCAAGAGAGTAATCAGCAGTAGTTAAAAGGTAATTTGCATCCAGCAATTAGTATTTTAAGCCAGCCAGTAAGATGCTGCATATAATGGTGTTTTACATTCTGATAAGGAAGCTAAAAATGCGATAGGCTACATGAAATGATGAATAGTTTGAAAATAAAATATGGCTAAAGAGATTATTTGTTTAGTTAGTTGAAAATGGTTTTAAAAAACCCATTGCAGTTTATAGCTTCCTTACAATGACAAAATATTAGGTACTGAGTGGCATTTTAATTTAATGGGAAAAAAACCATAAGCAGCAATAGAGAGAAGTTAAAGCCTGAGGAATTCAAATTAGAAATGGGGCTCAAATTTCTGAAAGTGAAAGTCTCCATTTCTTATGCCTTCAGGTAAAACCTGGTCACATTATTTTTGCCTTTCCTTACATGCCAGTTCTTGAACTCCAGTCTCATTTTCTTCCTTTCATTTGAACTGTCTCCAGTTTATTTTTCTTCTTTCGTAAATGTAATTCCAGATTTAGAACTGAGCAGCAATGGAAGAGAATTGGAATGGAAAGGAATGCTCATTGCATGGAGGTTGGACCAGATGACCTTTAAAGGTCACTTCCAACACAAACTATTCTATGATTGTATGATTCTAATATGTGCTTGTCTCATCTTACAAAGACTTTTACAGTTCTTTCCAGTATTTCCATTAATGACTTGGATGATGCTCGTTTTTGTTTGATACCAAACTGGGAAGGACTGGCAGTGCACTTCAAAGCAGTCTAATTTTAGCTTATACAGTAGCATCACGTCATTGCAAAACAGGTAAACATCATACTAGGATGTTTAAAAATAGTATCCTAAGATAGAAAAGAAACATTGCCAGTATCCTAAGATAGAAAAGAAACATTGCCAGGTTCTGAGAAAATGCAGAGCAAGGAGAATTTTCGTTCACTAAATACTCAGGAGAAAAACTGAAGTAAAGGAGGTTCAGCTTTAGCAATGAGGAAAACTGCTTTCACAGTGATAATAAGGAAGTTGGGAATAGATTGCCCAGTGAGATTGTAGTTTCCATGATTTGAGATTTATATCAGAAATAAAATTACTTTTGTTGATCCTAATTCAGGTCACGAAAGTCAAATAGATGACTCGTTGAAGTCCTTTCTACTTTTAGGATTCTATCATTAGTTCCATAAAATTAAAAAAATGTTTGCAATAAAAGTGATAAAACCTGTAGTTAAAATAGGAACAAATAGCAGTTTTAATCAAAGAAAAATGTCTTTCATGTGCGTTGATTAATAAAAAGATTATTTCACAATAACCTAATTATTCAAAATACTCAAGCAGTTTTAGTGACTGAATTCCCTTTAGAAATCGGTAGAAGTTCACTATTCCTTTTTTAGGGGCAGAATATTTTAAGAATGGAATAACAGACTACAAGTTAGCCTTCACATGGCTGATAAAACAAGTCTAGAAAGAATCATATACTTTGCTTTCATACTCAGTAATGTCTTAGAGGTTGGTCTTGTCAAACATTTGTTTATATCCAAATGCCAGCTCCCTCCTGATTTTTTTATACTACACATTACGTTTGTAACACATCAGGATTTTCCTCGTTTGAAAAGTCATGATTATGGAAATACAATTCTTCATAATTTTTGAGTATACATTTCAACAGATAATCCTTGGTTCCTCTTCCCAGTGAGTATCATTCTTTTGGCATCTTCAGTAGTACTGTTTTTCAATCTAAATAACATTTTTTTTTATCTTTTCCAGATATATTAGCAGAAATACTGTTTCACTATTAGTCTCAGTGAGTGAAGGATCAGGGCTCCACCACCTCCATGATTACATTGCTTCGATCTACATAGAACAAATTTACTTTGAATTTTTTTTTAATCTGTGAAGTTCAAACTTTAATGAATGTTTTTGTAAATTCTGAAAACAGTTTTTTTCAAAGTTACGTCATACTATACACAAAGAACAAAACAGGACAGAAACTAAATCTGTGACTATT